GGCACATAAATGAACAAACACATGTCCCCAAATCGACAAAATAACAGGAACAGGAGATTTTTGTAAACGACTAGTGAAGATCCAAGACAACACAAAGAGAGAGCAGATGAGAAAACTTCATTTTAAACTGAGAACTGAGCCATGACCATGGACAGAGTAACGAGCTCACGGTCATCTTTTGTTCGAACTTGGCATCTCACAAATGTATCAGTAAACATATGGACCAATGAGAAGGATATAGAGAAGAAGAAGAAGGTGACTTTACTGAAGAAGCTATTCCTCAAACTCATGCATGTGATCTAGAAGATAGTTTGCAGCCAACTCTTCGTTCTTGTTGCACGCAAAGAACACTTCCAACACCAACGATCTTTCGAATCCCATTGCTTCCAGCTGTTTTGTTCACAAATGTGATACCGAGTTGATCAATCATGAAGAGATCTCAGCCTTTCTTATTCAAGGGAAATATCAAGTTCTCAAAATTATTACAAAAAAAATAGGAACAGACCCGTTCGATTGCATCACGTTCCTCAGGTGTGACTTGGATCGCCTGTGGCTGTTGCATTCCCGCCGCCAATTGCCCAAAGAGGTTGCCACTGAGTTATAAAATGCACAGGCAAACATCAGAAGAGTCACTATTTACGTAATTAAAAGCCTCCCAATGTTTTGGTTTTAATATGTGAAAATGAAACAGATGAACCATAATCTTAGTAGCACAGGGATTATACAAACACACCTTTCTCCCCCTCCTTCAACGGGTTCATTGATTAAGCGTAAGAAGTCAGCTTGATGATCTTGAATCAACCGCATCAAGTTTGGGTTTTGCTTTCCCAATTCTTGAAGCATAGGCTGCAGAAAACGCATGGACAAAATCATTTGTAACACTATCAAATGACTAATTTATTTCGGGTTCTTCTGTGAATGGGATCAACATACCTGCAGAACTTGAGGGTTTGCTTGCACCATCGCTCGCAGAGCTTGGAACTAATATAAACCAGAATCACAATAAACACGTCACAAATTGATATCTAATATACTCTTGTTGTAAGCAACTGTGAGAAAAGAAACAGCTCATACCTGTTGGCTGTTGCGCAGGAAGTCAAGTGATCCGGCACCAGGATTTGCTCCAACATTTGGCAAGCCCTGTCAAAGGTAAGAGAAGATTTTTAGTTACATACCCATATATGATCAAAGGTTATATTTTCGATCTCAAGGTGTATACCTGTGGGAAGAGATCTAACGGATTTGCATTAGGACCAGTTGCAGGTGCCGCTGCAGGTTGCTGAGTCTGTGCTGGAGGATTTGCTGGCTGTCCACCACTAGTTGGGGCACGGGCAACTGGTGGAACTTCAGCTTGCTCAGGGATCCCCTAAAACAAACATCAGTGTTTAAAATATATAAATATTCTTGCTGCGGCAAGGAAAACAGTAGCCTATAATAGTGGCAAGGAAGTAGATCTAGAGGCATAGTGACCATGATGATAGGACATACCATCTACATCAAGTTTAGAAAAAGAAACTGAACTCACTGAGTAAAGATATTCCACAGCTCTTTCAGGGTTGTTAAATGCAGCACGGAGTGCACGGACAACAGTGTCACGATCCCAGCTTCCTCCACCCATGTCAAGAATCTGCTGAATAGTACTCTCTAAATTACTTCCAGCAGCCAGAGTTGATGCTGCTTGTCCGTAAACATCACCCTCAGATCTATCTCAACCAAAAAAGAATATGAAACAAAATAAGAATAGGCCAATTTCTCCAAAGTACATTTAGATAGCAAATATGCTAACCCAGCAGGAGTTGATGCTGGTGCGGGAGTGCTTGCT